TATGTATGTGCAAGTACAAGGATCTCAGACAAACAAGCATACCCTTCAGTACAAATTTTCCAGATATTTGTACCTTCAACATCAGTTGACAAAAGTACTCGCATGATACGGTAAAGCAGACATTTTTTGAGACCATATAAACATGTGCAACTTAATACCTTGGTTTGCAATAGATAATCTCAGAAGGCAGAGACATGCAATAGGGCATAAAATATTAAAAATAAAAGAATGTATCAATGTTGAAAATAGCGATAACGTATAGCGTAACGTTTACCTCCGGTTAGGTTACAATAGCGATAACGCATAGCGTAACGTAGGTTAAATAATTTATTATTATTTAAATAATTTATAGATATATAACATTCAAAATAAAAAATATGAATAATCATCGTAATTTTCAATTTCACAAATCAATATATCATCACAATTTCACACCAAATCAACCATGTTTGCCTTAACAATCAATCCAAAAGCATAAAATACTTCAAGTTCGAAACCAAAAAGGATCCAATGATCCATAAACTATGAAGTATGAAATTATTGGGTTGGGTTGGAATCCATGAAAAAGGAGAAACGTTACGCCGTTACGTTACGTAACTTACGTTATAGCTAAAATAACCTACGTTATTTTGTCTTTGCGTTATTTTCAAACGTTACGTAACGTTAAGCTAACGTTACGTTACGTTAAGCGTTATTTTGCGTTACGAAACGCGTTATTTTCAACACTGCAATGTATGTACTAATTAATGAAGTACTTGAGAATGAATGGACATAATGAACAAACAAAAGATGCCTAGTGAAAATAAGACTACCGCTGCATAAGGGAAACATCAGTCGTAGGGACATCTAGAATTGGATTAGCAGCAAATGATCCTTTGTATACATCTGCAAAAACATGAATATATGAAATCGGTAAATTATAAATTGAGTTTTGCAAATATACCAGCGCATAACCTCACATGTGCTACAAATGTTTAATAAATTGAGTTTTGCAAATATACCAGCGCATAACCTCACATGTGCTACAAATGTTTACCTAGGCTCCCACAGTAAGGGTGTACTTTCATATACAAAATAGCTTACCAACTTTATTGGATTCAAGCCTCTCATTGCCATGACTCCAGCCAATGCCAAACCTAGATTACACAAAGTTAACAATACGTAATGTTAATAAACTTGTCTAAAAATAACCATGAATCAACATAAACATTAATCTTGTATGATGATAATTGAAGTTTAATAGTGAAGGGAAAAGTCACATGTGGATTATGTATGTATTATAATGCCTATACACATGTAAAAAAGGTATTCATAGAAAGTATTTTATCCTTCTATTTGAGAATATCTGGCATGTTAGTCTGTTGGTGTATACAATGGATTATGTGCCAAGTTGCATACGAGAATCCTTTCTCCTTGAATTCCACAATGTTAGCATAGAATATATCCAAGGTACTCTATGACAGCTTATGTGCATGCCTATGGAAGTAGAGCCATTTAACTTTTAAGGCTCATGCAGATTGGTACTAATCAACTTATTACCCTTACATGTTAATGTCTTTTACTGACTCAACGGCGTAATGTCTGAGGCATACTCTTCAACGAAGAATTTAATCTACTGTATACTCTCCCCTCTATACTGGCTTGTTATGCCACTTCATCTGTGCTCCCATATTCATGTCCGTGTCCGACACTCGTTGGACACTCCTAAATATATACATACATTTATTCACACGTGTACTCAATTATGTAATACGTCTTTTAGTTTAAAACACTCGTGATACATTTATTGGACGTATATGTTACACTTCACCTCAAATTTCTGCAACTCATTGGACACAGGTCGGGTTTGGCCCATACCCAGATCCTAAGTATAATTTTAAAGGGTCGTTTGGGTATTAAGTTCTAAAAGGAGCGGTTTTTTAGTTTATAATTAATTCAACAAAAAAACATAAAAATATTATCAGAATTTTAGTTCTCATAACATGTGAATGAAAAAATAATAATGATATGATATAAATTATTAATTTCAATATATACATATATATATATATATATATATGAGGAATATGGGTATGCTTGGATATATATATATATATATATATATAGTCATGTCTCTGTATCCTACCTTTTACAAATTTATCGTGTCCTGTACATGCGCCCTGTTTCAATGTCCAACCTGCACCCATAACCATGCAACATAGGATAGAATTTATGTTTGGTTTCTACTATTTAACTGACTTTGGATGTGGGAAGTCATTTATTGAGTCTGAACGTCCTGAACCCTCATGTAATAATAAATTCTTAATTTCGAGAATATAGCCGAAGGTCAAGATTAAATTAAAGCTACATCTCCCGTTAAGTCCTGTGTAATTCACTTCCCATTATTATTTTGTTTTGATGACTTCTCATATGTGTTTGTGGCATTTCTTCTTGTTAGGATGTACCCCCAGGGACTCCCAGTCCTGGTATTGTCACAGTAAGTCAGAACATGACCATTGCAAGTAGGGGTGCATTCGGTCCGGATACGGCTCGGATATGATGCTTATCATATCCATATCCGCTTACCCATCTCGGATACGGTTACGGATACGGATATACCTCGGTAACAAAAATTTATAACCATATCCGCTAAAATCGGATACGGTTACGGATATACATGCGGTATATAAACGGATATGCATGCAGATACAAAACAGATATGAGAAAACTAGATAGTATTGAGAAAAACATAATTCATGTGATACAAAAGAGTTTGTTAATATGTCCATTATAATTGAAAAGTTAAGATTAGACATCTTGATCATCAAAATTAACCACAAATCCATAATTTAAGAATCGAAACTATCGTAAGAGTATGACTAATATGTATTCGGATATTTCGGATACGGATACAGATATTTCACTACAAAACCATATCCGTAACCATATCCTATCGGTTATAGATTTGAGTAACCGTATTCGTATCCTAACGGATACGGTTACGGATATTTTCTCGGATACGGATACGGTTTAGCACCCCTATTTGCAAGACTATCTGTGTTTGGTGTGAGTACACAATTATTCATAGGAACCATGGGTGCAGTTATTCTTAATTTCAGCTTCTCCAGGTGACAATGCTCATATCATCTATCCTAATTGACAGACCTGGTGCATGTCCTCTGTAACCTTACACCTAAGTCTAATAGCCAGAGGTCCTCTTCTTCTACTTAATGAGTCTTTCAAGCTATAGAAACAAACAATTTATTACCTACGTATGAACCAATATCATGTTGCCACCTGCGAAGCATGCTAGTTGCAGGGTAATACAAGCTACCCACAATGATAGGGCTTTTTGAAAAGTTGCGATGTTGGTATGGATGGATACAGAAATAAATATATCATGGACAGTTACACAAGCATGCACACATGACGCACCAATAAATATAAAATAAAACATGAGTGCCAATGATATAATAGTTCATAAAACTTCACAATAGCAATACGTCAGTGGATACATCAACAATAAAAATACATAATCCATTATTATATTCACAACTTTAACATGGTCCAACACGATGTAGGCGCGTGATTGCTCTTCGTTGCTCTCGTGCACCTTTAGATCCCTCTTCTTTCTTATAATTTGAGTTCAGAGTTCAACTAGTAATGTCTTCTCCTCTTTCCATTTCTCTTCTCAATTTCTCCCTTCCTCTTGGTTTTCTTATGGATTCCAAAGGTAATATAGGTGAGGCTCAGAAATCTTGAGCTTCAATTGTAAGTAACAACAGGATGAAGGATCGTGGGCTAAACTTATCGTTTATTCCTCAATAATTCTCCGATTCGTGCTACGTGCAGTTTGAAGATGATGAACGGAAGCAAGGTATGGATGAATGAACTTTTCTTGAGAGGGATATGTGTTTGGTTACAAAGCCCCTTATGCTGCTATTAATGGCTTTGTGGAGAAACATTGGAGTGAATCTGGAAAATTTGAGGTGCTTGCTCTAAATTCAGGTATATTTCTTTTTAAATTTCAGACTAATGAAGCTGGATTGGGGATTTTACAGCGGGGTCCTTGGACATTTGATAGCAAGCCTTTGATTATGGTTCCTTGGTCTGTTGATTTAAATTTAGAAGATCTGAATATTTCTTCAGTACCGATTTGGGTCAAATTCCCTAATCTGAAGTTAAATCAGTGGATTGAAAAAGCCCTTAGCAAGCTAGCAAGTGTGATTGGAAAGCCAATTTGTTCTGATGGTATTACTGCTACAAAAGGGAGATTATCATATGCTAGAGTTTGTTAGGAGATCAAGGCTGATTTTGAACTGCCTAAGCTCCTTAAATTCAAAAGTCCTAATGGAAGAGAGTATGAGTAGAAGGTTGATCATGAATGGACTGAGTAGAAGGTTGATCACGAATGGACACCCCCAAAATGTTCTCAATGTTAAGTATTTGGGCACAAGCTTGAAAAATGTCCAATAAGAAATGTGAAAAAAGTTTGGGTTCCTAAGAAAAGATAGTGGAAGAGGTAAACATTGACCCTCAGATAGAGAAGGAGGTGAAGACAATCAAAAGGAAGTTGAAGACAATCTAGAGAATGTTCCTCCTGTTCAAGAATGGCAAACTATCAAGGCTAAGAATAAAAGTCCTGTAAATCAAGGTCCTGTTAGTTCTCCAAAAAAAACATTGTATCTACTTTAAATGGATTTCAAGCTTTGCATGTTCATGATGAAAGTGGTATCAATTTTGTAGATCTTTCTGCAAAACCTCCTTCAAACAAAAAGGAAGGAACTAGTCAATCTGGGAATGGGAGGTCTAAAAGGACCACTAATCCCAAACCAAGATGAAGCCTATTGCTAGTTGGAACATTAGGGGACTTAACCATCCTAATAAGCAAAAAGAGGTTAAGAATCTAATAGGAGGGATTAGTTGAGCTTAGTTGACCTTGTTGAGACCAAAATCCAGCCTGCTCATGTTAGTTTTATAGCTAATAATTGCTCTCCTGGATGGAGTTTTCTTCATAATTTTGCTTTTGATATACATGGAAAAATATTGGTTCTTTGGGATTCGTAGTGTATGTCTCTTACTCCTAAGTTGATTACATCTCAATGCATTCATTGTTTGATAGAAGACAATAGCAGTAGACTGCATATCTATGTTACTTTCATCTATGGCTTTAATTCTGCTAGTGCAAGATGGGAGCTTTGGAATGATATTGGAGTATTTAAGTCTTGTACTACTCCTTCGATTGTTCTTGGTGATTTTAACTGTATTCAAGCAATAGATGAAAGAGCTCAGGGGAAACCTATTAATAGAAATGAACTCCTGGAAGTTAAAGCGCTTATGAGGGATTCCAAGTTGACAGATATAAAGTGCAGAGGATTTTTATACCTGAACTCTCATGTTTTATGTAAATTGGATAGAGTGTTGATAAATGAGGAAGGGCTGACCATGCTTCCTTCTATGGATACTGAGTTTCAACATCCTGGCATTTCAGATCATATCCCAGCAACTTTGTTCCTTCATGAAACTATCACGTTCAAGGCTCTTTTTAGATTCTATGCTTGCTGGAGTTCTTACAATTTGTGTCCTACGGTGGTTTCTCAGGTTTGGTTGTCAGGGGCTCTCATATGTTCCAAGTTGTGCAGAGAAATTTGCTTTGAGAAAATTTAATGCTAAACATTTTGGGGGGATCAATGCTAGGGTCCAAAAAGCTAGGAAGCCATTGTTTGCTTCACAAGGTCTCCTTCATGGGGATCCTAGTAATGCTCAATTGAAGGTGCAGGTACGAAAATAACATGAAGTCTTTTTTGAAGCTTATGAAGCTTGCTTTTATCATCAAAAAGCTAGAGTAGAATGGAGTAAAAATATGGAGATACAAATTCAAACTTCTTCCATGCGAGAGTTAAGCGAAGGAGATTGAGGAACTCTATATATGCTTTGTCTACTGGGAATGGTAGGATGTTGACTTCTCTTGAAGATATACAGGAGAAATTAGTGTCCTTGTATAAATCACTTCTTGGTTCATGTGCTACTATTGATCCTGTCAACAATGGTATATTTGCTAGAGGTCCATTAATCTCTGAGGATCAGTGTTTATCACTTTGTAGACCTATCTCCGATGGTGCGATTAAAGTGGCAATGCTCCAAATTAAGGATCTTA